ATATGTTAGCTCATCAATAGAGGTAAAAAACGTGAATTTGGATGTTTTTTAAACAGTGAATTGTTGTGAATGGTGCCCCGCCAATTCTAGCACTTATACACAAATTGACTTTAGATTCATGTATATTTGTCTGGACTAAGTTTCATCATATAAATAAGATTGAACGTTCATCAAAATCACACTTTGAGGCCTTTTACTTTTGAGAAAAAGTACTGTAAATTTTCACTCGAAAGTGGAAGATGAATTTAAAAACACTCAAAAGAAAATATTCCAAAATTTGCGATGATCTAATCACATTTGCGATGATTAAGTACTTTCGATTTAAGCCTTTGATTTTTTATAATGACATTAATTGAATGGTAAACTGTTGATTCTCAATGTTATCTCTTGGCAGAGGTTAAGACCCAATCCTTTTAATCTATTATCAGTTTTAACTAAAGTCATTCAAATATTTGCATAAATCGCGTAGCTCAATAAAGTCATAAACTAATTTGCTCGTTATTGGTTTTCTCTTCTCGTCATTTAGTTCCCGGTTGAATTGGAAAGCGCTCGTATTGAAACTGAAAAATGGCATTTTTGGCCCAAATTTACTCCCATAAACTACTAGTTTTCCTAGTGGCTGCCACTACTGGCCTGTGCATTACTACCTCTGTTTTTGCAGTGCAAAACACTCGCTTAAAAAACCAACTGGACGAGGAAAAAGCGAAAAACAATGGCTCTTCAGGTAGAAACCATTAACACTTGATTTCAAAGAATAATTTTTTTTGCAGTTTCTACTACAGCTTTGCCTACAACCACTACAGAGCCGTCGCCTGCAGACATGAGCAAGTACCGACTACCCACCAATGTAAAGCCTGCGCTCTACGATCTTTTTTTATATCCCGATTTACAAACCGGTATGTCCAAAAAACATTTATTTGGATATTCCGCCTTGTGCACAATTAACAGCTGTATTAAAATTGCAGGTTTATTCAAAGGCTCAGTGATCATATCGCTTGCTGTATCAGGCCAAGCTTCCAGCATAGTTCTACACTCCAATGGCTTGAACATCACCAAAGTGCTGGTCAATGAAGAGCAGGCGGATTTTAATGTGGAACCTGCCTACGAAATAGTCACAATCACGAGAAAGGATGGCAGCAACTTCACTTCGTTGTCCGATGTTCTGAACATTGAGTTCAACGGTGACATGAAGAATAGGATTGTGGGGCTTTACACCAGCTCGTATAGCAGTGATGGGAAAACAACGTAAGTTTTTTTATTTGTTGTGGATTTTATTGGCCATCTTCTTCTGAGGCTGCTGTGTCATTGTCTGCACAGTTGAGATTCTTTCAATCTATCCATCCATTTTTTTTATTGTGTATTCTCAAAAGATGAAAAAGAGATCTGAAGGGTTGTTCTCATACATTTTCTTAGGAGTTCAATTGTGTGTCCACGCGCTCCTTTTAACGAAGAAAGTTCATGCAGCCGAAGACCCTTTGCATCATCCAAGAAATAATTGAACTATCGGCATTCTTCCAGTATCAGTTAAGGTTTGAGTACCGAGTTCCATATTCGTTTGGACTACTACTGTCTGCATCATCCTCATTCTTCAGTTGGCAGCAATTTCGTGCGCAAATTCTGGATCTAGTCTTTGTTTTACAATGTTTGCTAATCGGGTTATCAGTCCACATCTAATCCTTAAAATGGCATAACTCTTTTTATTATCCACACATGATGGTGAACGTTTTTTTACATATAATAAATATTCTTTTAACGCCGCGTTGGAAGACAATATTTCTTTATTTTTAATGCATTTTTCAACACTCTGAATGGTCTTGAAGCAATAGTTGAATCTCCTCAGGAGTGCTGGAAGTGCGGCAATCTTCAGTGCTTTGTGCTGATGAATGCACCGATGTTTTCTAATGGCGACGTGTTTCAATTTTCCATTGTTTCCGATTGAGCACTGAAACGAAACTCGATTAAATGCATTTTTGTGTAGTGGACGCTTGCATGCACTGTGAAGCTTAACTGCACGCAGTTTCAATCAGACTGTGACTATTCGCTTCTCTTACATTACAAATGAAAAGCGTAAGAAGCCGGTTTGCAAAATCCTGGTTTTGCGATTAAGAGTTTGCTTCTTGAGAAGCTAACTGGCTTGAAAAAAGCTTCTGGAGGACCATTTCTATAGTCATACAGTCAAACTATTTATTAGGACTGAGAGTCTCAAAAAGCTCCTTCTTCTTAAATAATTCATCAATTAAGCAAAGTTCTTTCCTCTAATGGGGCTTTTTTCCTCTATTACAAAGGAAACATGCAGAAACTGATTTTTGAACAATAATTCCACGTTTTATGATGATTTGGTAGAAAAACGTATCGACTTTGATAATTAAGCAGTACTGAGTTAATAAATCTTATCTTCCAAACATGCCTAAAGCGACTTTCTACTATCAGTCATTGATATTCAGTTAAAACGTTCCACATTTTGAGATATTTGGTCAAGAAACGATTACTGAGTGAGTACAGACGAGAAAACGAATCATGCTGTCTTATCTTGGTAATTTGCCATTATTTCTGTGTGGAATTAAAGTGAGCGTGAAAACTCGACTGTGAGGATTAATAGGTTTACTACAGAATAGAAGAATCTAATACACATTAAGAAGATCACAAGCAGCAAGAGTAAAGCAATCCACCAGCAGAGAATGGAAACACTATTAATGCGCAACGAGAGGAAACCACAGAAATAATGAATAAACCTGATAATCCCAACGAGACAATAGAACATATCAAGGAATACAAATTTGGAACTTTAACTAGAGCCTTAAATGAAAAAATGCTACCGCCGTTTTTCCTACATTTTAATGAAATCGAATTAATTACTGACAAAGAAGGGAATAACAAGATGATGTATAAAAAACCAGACTCTCTACACGTAGGTTTTTGACTCTGTTAATGTGATAAAGAAGACATGGGATGGAAACCGAAATGTATCCAAAGATTATTACCAATAAAATAGACACAATGATACAATGAAAACTACGAAAGGAAAATCAGCATCAACTAGAGAGTGTAGAGGATTGAAAAACGTAAAATGGGTCTTACAAAATTAGGACAAATTAAATAATCAACAGAATAACGTGCAAAGAAATTGAAAGGCGCTTTTAAATAATGAATTTGGTAATGGATAATAGAAGGCACAATACAGTTGAACAATAATCCGTACGAAAATCGCAGTTTGAAGTATCTAAATTTTACACCTTGGTTGTTTTCAAAACACGCTAAATAGAAATAGAAAAAATTAAACTGGTCATTTTTGCCTAAAAGAATTAGGTCCTGAAACGGTTGTTAACAATTTTAGTTCTTTCGGAATTTCTTAACTCAAAAATAAGAAAGAGGCTTCTAAAGATGCTCTATGAGTGTGATTTCAATCCAGCAACTAAGGAGTCTGAGGAATTTTGAAATTTCCAAGTCGCGTTTTTTGTGCTTAAGTCCGGAACTGAAATATTTGTTTGTCCTAAACTAGAACAAATAGAAGTGCACTGTTTTCCTTAACAATGAGGAAGATTCTTGTGAAGTTGCGCGGTGAGTTTGGTTTCAATCTGGCTACTGACAGGTTTGTGAGAAATTTTCAGTTTTCACTTGAGTGTTTGTGCCTAAGTACCGAATTGAAAAATTCGACGATCCCAAACTAGATAAAACAGAATGGGGATTTTTTACCCCAATATGAGGAAGAATCTTCGTAAAATAATCGGTGAGTTTGTTTTCAATCGAGCAACTAAGAGACTTTTCAGGAATTTGTAAACTTTCAATTTCATTTTTGTGTCGCATTTCGGAAGGAAAATTAAACTGGTCATTTTTGCCTAAAAGAATTAGGTTCTAAAACGGTCTTTAACAATTTTAGTTTCTTCGGGATTTTTTAACTCAATAATAAGGAAGAGCCTTCTAAAGATGCTCGATGAGTTTGGTTTCAATCTAGAGACTAAGAGGGCTTTGAGGAATTTTAAAATTTTCAAGTCGAGTTTTTTGTTTTTAAGTCCGGAACTAAAAAAAAATGTCTGTGCAAAACTAGAACAGATAGAAGTGCACTGTTGTGTGGCTTCAATCTGGGGAGTAACAAGTTTCTGAGAAATTCTGAGTTTTTGCGCTTAAGTATGACATTGAAAAATTCGTCGCTCCCAAACTAGATAAAGCAGAGTGGCGATATTTCACCCCAATGTAGGCACTCTTTAGAGTCTAAAGTTTAGTCGAAAAGACTAAAACAAGAAAATTGTCTAAAGAAGTCGAATAAAAATCAAACAAAAAAGACGAAAAGCATAGAAAAACCTGAAACAGATAAAGTGTATGCGTATTGGAATTACGAAGTATTACGAATTGGATGCGCCACTGGCTGCAGTCTAAAATCGAGTCGTAGAGAAATAAATCCGACCAATGGAAACGTTGCATAGACGTGACGCCAATGGAACAATGGTAAAATAACAAATCAGCATAAAACATATGAGGAAAAGAAGATTAAGAAGATGATATATTGGAGCCAAAGTTTATAGGCATAGAGTTTCTGGAAAAGCTGGATAACGTAAATGTTGATATTCTAAAGAAATAATGCAGGAATCCGTATAGAGAAAGCTGAGTAATTCAGGCTCCAGCTAAGATTAAGTGAAAATAAATGTATTTGTTTTGGCTCGAAGTTTCAATAAATACGTCAAATAGTAATTTTGAAAAATTCGTAATTAGTGAGCTGTTGATTTTTGCGGGTTAACCGCAAACACAATCTAGATAGAGAATTAAGCATACTATTGGAAAAATTAATTTTAGGCGTTGGTTTCCATTAATTTTCAAATTAATCGGCAAGCAGGGTCAAAAATCTTAATTTTTTAAATTTCCGGCCGCACTTGATTGAGGAAAAACCAGCTAAACTGCTGGCAGATTGTAGTAGCCGGTGCCCATGCGCTTTTCTAACATTTCTCAAAGAAAAGGCTGACTGGACGACGGATGTTCAATTGATTGTTGAAATAGAAATGATTCCCAACCTGCGACGATTGAATGCATTCGCCCATAAACGGTTCATTCGACGTAAAGAGTGCAAACTTGCAAAGTGACGGTAAAATACTCTCACCAGGTATGGTACCGACCTGTTACGGTACTATCAAACCAGGCCCCTACTTGTCTTGAGAATTACGAAACATTTTACCATTTCGCGTCAACAATCTTGGAGCTTGTGAAATGTTCGAATAATTTGCGCGTTCACAATGCCTTGCTGTGGTCGAAATAGTGACAAAAATGTCGTGGCAGTCAAAAAAGGCCGAAAGTGCGTTACTTTTCTATTCAGTTGTTGTATGTTCTGGTTCATATTATGTGTGATATTAGTGACTGTGTTGGTGTTTGTCGGGAAGCATTTGCTGTACAACACTATGGAATCAGACTATCAGGGGCTGATGACCAAACCTACAAGCGCGAATGTTTCGAAAATCGGCGAAATCAACTACTTCCGACTACCGAATGATGCTAGACCGTACTTGTACAATTTGACTATACTGCCGTTCCTGGATCGGGATTATTTCCACGGGCTCGTGAACATTTCCCTCCGAATCACCAACCCGAAAAGTGAGCTGTTTTTGCACAGTAAAATGCACACGATTTTCTCCGTGGATTTTATGTTCGAAAATCGGAAAAGCCTGCAAATCTTGAGTGTTACCAACAACAACAAATACGAGGTGTTGGTGATCACCACGAAGGAGAAAATTTTTCCCGGGAATTATTCTCTGGCCATTAAATATAGGGGGGTGCTGGAAAAGTCGCTGGGTGGCCTTTACAAAAGCAGTTACGAGAGTGGAAATCAATCGAGGTAAATTTAGTAACGGTGCATACTTATATCGATTGAATGGTATGATTTATTATCGCTTATTAACATAACAAAACCTCGGCTTCAAGGCAGTTGAATTTGATTGTCGTGCATATGGGGCGAGTATTTGAGCAATAAATAATCACCACACAACCGTATAGGAAAAATCGGGTACTTAAGGACTTTTAAATGCGGCGCTGCAGCCGGTTTTGGCACTACTCCAGTCGGGGATTGAAATATTTAGTCGAATTACTTTCGGCTAATCGGAAAGGCTATTCAACTTTGCAAATTATCATACGTACACATAGAGGACGTAGGGGATTATTGCCAAGTAAAGCAAAATTAATTTTATGACTTTAATTTAGTTTCTTAGCTAAATTAAAGTGTTTAAAAATTTACTTCCTATCAGTTTCGAAAGTGAAACCACCGATAAGTACACTTGGAAATTTCTTTAATTATATTGGCGCTCAATGTGCTGCGAACCTTGAAATTAGCAGGACTTAGAACCAATTATGAGCAGTTATTCTCGTTCGACAACAGAGAAAATTGCTAATTTTTCAGTCACATGCGGAATTTCCGTATTCACTTGTAAATTCGCATACAAATCAGCATCTGGTCTAAAAATCTGAGTCTCTTTGTAAGGTAGAACAATTTTAAGGAAATTTGCCACAAAACCAATACTTGTGTTAGTAATGAAACATTACATGACTTCATTCAGCATGCTTTTTTAATTAATTTTGCCGATAACTTCTTGAAAATTCAGTTTAGTCTAAAGGCGGTTTTCAATTTGCAGAGGACCAAAAAATAATTAGTTAAAAGAATTCCAGAATTAACGTAAGAAAGTTCCAGTATTAACGTCGTTTTCAAATTTTAGTTGCCAATGTGGTGAGAACTTCAGGAGCGAAAATAATCTAGGATTTTTTCATTGCAAATTAAACAGACTTTCCTCTAACAGCATTTACACTGATAAAACTACTACACAAGCTAATAATCGAAAAACTTGCATATTGACTAATCAACACGTTCTAAACCATACAATTTCTCTTATTGGAAAGGCGAGTTTAGATTGAAAATGTTAATGAAATTTGGTGGAAAGCATTTGAAAATCTGAAAAAAGAACAAGACTCATTCTCTGGACGTTAATATACATGCTTACAATTTTTTGTAGTTCATTTTTTTGATGCTCATTTAACTGTTTCTCTTTCCGTTACAATCGCTTAAGAGAAAGGTCAGTATGTCCTATTACACCAAGAAAGTTTTATTTTGAGGGTTTATCGTCTACTTTAAGGAAATGTGCTGATACTAATTAATTTTTATTGCTTGTTTGTGTCTTAATTTATTTTTTTAATTAATTTTTCCAACGGTTGTACTCTGATCTTTTGCTTCGATTTTATCCATCATTTTTTAAAAATTAATCGATTAAATGTACTATTTTTTATGTATTAATCGTAATCTTTCATAGACAACATATTTCCGGTCCAAGAAATCTTTCAACAGTTTCTTAAATAAAATCAGGCATTCGTTTGTCTGGACAGAATGTCCAAGAATTGTTATATTAAGGGCGAGAAAAACATGTTTTTATAAGATTATTTCAGCTTAAAAGTTACTCAATTTGCTGTAAACCAAGTTTCTAAGGAATGTTGTTGAAAACTGACTTACTAACAGTTTCGAAAGTAAAACCACAAATAAGTACACTTGGGGATTTCTTTAAAAAGATTACCGCTCAGTGTGCTGCGAACCTTGAAATTAGCAGGACTTCGTCTTAGAACCAATTATGAGCAGTTATTCTCGTTCGCCAACAGAGAAAATTGCAAATTTTTCGGTCGCATGCTGAATTTCCGTTTTCACTTGTAAATTCGCATACAAATCAGCATCTGGTCTAAGAATCTGACTCTCTTTGTAAGGGAGAACAATTTTAAGGAGATTTTCCGCAAAACCAATACTTGTGTTACCAATGAAACATTACATGGCTTCATTCAACATATTAAAAAAAAAATTAATATTGCCAATAACTTCTTGAAAATTCAGTTTTGTGAACTTTTGTGTATTAGTTGAAATAAACTTACAGTCTTAACCTGATTTTCAAATTTTGGTTGTTAATCTGGTGAGGACTTCAGAAGCGAAAATCATCTAGGGTTTTTTAATTGCACATTAAACAGACTGTCCTCTAACAGCACCAACACTGAGAAAACTACTACACAAGCTAATAATCGAAAAACTTGCATTAGCATATTGACTAATCCACATGTTCTAAAGCATACAATATCTCTTAATGGAAAGGCGAGTTTAGATTCAAAATGTTAATGAAATTTGGTGGAAAGCATGGGATAATCTCAAAAAAGAACAAGACTCATTCTCTGGACGTTAACATACATGCTGACAATTTCTTGTACTTAATTTTTCTGATGCTCATTTAACTGTTTCCTTTTCCGATACAATCGCTCAACAGAAAGGCCATTATATCCTAATTACACCACAAAAGTTGTATTTTGAGAGTATAGTCTACTTTGGGTAAATGTGCTGATACTAATTAATTTTTACTGCTTGTTTCGAGCTTAATTTATTTTTTCCACTGGTAATCGGAATAGTATACTTATTTTTATATATGACTCATAATTTTTTATAGGCAATATATTTCCTGTTCAAGAAATATTTCAACAGTTTCTTAAGGTAAATCAGTTTTCTGAAGAAAATGTCCAAGAATTGCTTTATTAAGAGGCTAGAAAAACCATGTTTTTCGAAAAATCATTTCAGCTTAAAAATTATTCAATCTACTGTAAACCCGTAAAAATAATAATCGAATTTTTTTCATAATCGAGATATTGTAATAGTTCGATTGACTGACTTAAATATTGCTATTGTTTAATGCGATAAAAGCGGACCATAACAATGACCGGGAAAACACTGTTAAAGTGTCATGCTTTATTGTTCTTATGCTTTGACCAAAAAAATATTTTTTACGGAAACTATTTTCGCTTATGAACTCCGTGGATTTTAATCCTTTAACTGGCCACAAAACAACGTGTTTTGAGTGATTTTTGAGATGACTAAACTCCTTTTTAACTTTTTTTCTATTTTTATGTCTTTAAAGCAAGTTGGCTAAAGCTAAGCGAATCAATCTAAACCGATGTATTTTAGAGTTTTTCATAACTATTTGCCATATTTTATGACAGTTGATGTGAGAGTCTAAGAATCATGAGTGATTCTTAGACGATCTCAGCAAAAAGCTCCTTAGTAAGTAATATGGAAAAAGCTGGGGTCGCACTCCTGTAAAATCAACTGCTTCGTCTGAAGCGTTTAGACTTAGTAGGAATAATCCTGTAGAGATCAGAACTCACTCATTTAACTTTGTTTTGAACAAAAGTTTCTACCGTAGATTCACTCAAACTAAAAAAATACCGTCTTCATTCGAAACACTCTCTAAAACGCTGCCTTGTTTTGTGATTTAAGCTGAAACTAGACAAAACAGTTTTAACAACAATCAAAAGCTTTTTTTGAAATAATTGTTTTTTTCTGCAGTTTAGGCTGAAACGAGGCCAAGCAATGCTAACAACTACCCAAAGTTTAGCCATTTAATGGAGGGCGGTGTTGCGGAAAATGTTCAAACATCCGCCAATAAATAATTATAATTAGTGAATAATTATGATAAATTATTTTAAATGAAGGTCTAATTAATGAGTGTAAATTTGAGCCTTCAATTTGCTGTTCGCACTTCAAAGAGCAGCAGTACAAATAAGGCGCATTAGCAAATGGTAAACTGATCGAAAAAACCATTCAGATGAAACTTTTATAAGCAATTAGAAATTAATTTGTAAAATTTACTAACTAATTGAGACTATTTTTGTCAAACTCAAGCTCCAACAGAAGCGAAAAATGGTGCCGAGACCACATAACTTCCTCTAGTTTTGACTTTATTGGCTGTGGAAAATTTGGAAAAGTGGAAGCAAGCTTTTACTGAATGTTGGTTGAACCATTTGTATGATGGATGCAATTGAAGGTTAAGAACTGGTTGTTTATTAACAATTACAGAAAGTTTCACTCCTTTTTGTAGATATGTATTCTCAGAATTTTTTTTCACTATAAAAGAAGGAAAAATTTGATGACTTTGTTAACTATTTAGGCGTGAAAATTACCATCAATATTAAAATGAGTTTGGAAAATTTCAGATGCTTTAAACTTTTAAACCGCACTGAAAGTTACCTCAAACTTTCACGCTGTTTTCATTTGTATAAGGCGAAGAAAGTTTGTGAATGAAAAATCAAAAAAGGCTTCCAAATAAGTGTTTACTAACAAATGCCGAAAGTTTCAGTCATTTTTGTAGATGTAAATTCGCAGAATTTTTACTTTTCTCTTTAAAAATAGGAAACATTTGATGACTTTGTTAACTAAGTATTTAGGCCTGAAAATTACCATCACTATTAATGTGAGTTTGGAAAATTTCTAATGCTTTAAAAAACTTAAACCGCACTGAAAGTTGCTTCAAACATTCACGCTGTTTTCATTTGTATAACTCGAAGATAGTTTGGGAATGAAAAATCTAAAAAGGCTTAAAAATAAGTGTTTACTAACAAATGCAGAAAGTTTCAGTCATTTTCGTAGATGTAAATTCGCAGAATTTTCACTTTTCTCTTTAAAGGATTAATCATTTGATGACTTTGTTAACTATTTAGGCCTGAAAATAACCATCACTGTTAATGTGAGTTTGGAAAATTCCTAATGCTTTAAAAAACTTAAACCGCACTGTAAGTTGCCTCAAACTTTCACGCTGTTTTCATTTGTATAACTCGAAGATAGTTTGGGAATGAAAAATCTGAAAAGGCTTAAAAATAAGTGTTTACTAACAAATACAGAAAGTTTCAGTCATTTTTGTAGATGTGAATTCGCAGAATTTTCACTTTTCTCTAAAAAAGAAAGAAACATTTGATGACTTTGTTAACTAAGTATTTAGGCCTGAAAATTACCATCACTTTTAATGTGAGTTTGGAAAATTTCTAATGCTTTAA